CGGCAGACAGAGGAGGTGGCAACCTGCGGCCTCCATTTCACCAGAAAAATGCTGCTCCCAATGTGTTGGGGAGCATCTGTGTCCTGTGGCTCTCTCTGGGGCCAGATGCTTGTCTCCATGCCTCGACTCCCAGATCCAGGCAGGATCTGCTCTCTGGGCAGAGTTTCCCAGAGCTGTTGTGGATTTGTGTGGAAGAGGGATCCCAGCCGGGGACTGAGCCAGGCTCGTGCCTGGCGTGCACAGGGCAGGCTGCTGGGCGCCGTGCATGCGGTGTAGCCAGCAGTGCGTGCCCGGTGTCTCTGCAGGCAGCAGGACCTGTTCCGGGTGCTGAAGGCGTACACGCTGTACCGCCCGGAGGAGGGCTACTGCCAGGCCCAGGCGCCCATCGCCGCCGTCCTGCTCATGCACATGCCGGCCGAGGTACGGGCACGCGCCTCAGGGGACGGAGCTGCCACCTCCTGGAGGGTGTGGGGCCCTTTGGGGGGTGCTGATGAGTGAGGTGCCTGGCTCAGGGGAGCCCAAAGTGCCCCAGGGGTGCTCTGCTGCTTCCCACCCTCTCCTGTGGTCCTGGTCTCCTGTGGGAGCAGGGAGGGGACTTCAGGGATATCCTCCGGGTGCTCACCTGCTGTCCCTTGGCTTGCAGCAAGCATTCTGGTGCCTGGTGCAGATCTGTGAGAAGTACCTCCCTGGCTACTACAGCGAGAAACTGGTGAGTAAAGGGCTCATGGTGGTTTCAGCAGTGGCAGGGACCTGCAAGGTCCTGCACCTGGGTTGAGGCAACCCCCAGGATCAATCTCCAGGATCAATCCGGGCTGGGGATGAAGGGATCAAGAGCAGCCCTGGGGAGAAGGACTTGGGGATGCTGGTTGATGAGGGTTGGCCATGCCCTGGCTGTGTGCCCTGGGATGATCCCTCAAGGTGGGCGGCAAGGGAGGGGGATTCTGCCCCTCTGACTGCTCTGAAGGCTGGAGCCCCTCTGCTCTGGAGCCAGGCTGGGAGAGCTGGGGATGCTCAACTGGAGAAGAGAAGGATCCAGGGAGAGCTCAGAGCCCCTTCCAGGGCCTAAAGGAGCTCCAGGAGAGCTGGAGAGGGACTGGGGACAAGGGATGGAGGGACACGACAAAGGGGAATGGCTTCCCATTGCCAGAGGGATAGATGGGATAGCAGGAAAAAATACTTCCCTGTGAGGGTGATGAGGCCCTGGCACAGGGTGCCCAGAGCAGTTGTGGCCACCCTATCCCTGGAAGTGTTCCAGGCCAGGTTAGACAGGGCTTGGAGCAAACTGGGATAGTGGAAGGGGCCACGTGGCAATGGGGTGGAATGAGACGACTTTTAAGGTCCCTTCCAACCCAAACCATTCTGTGATTCTGCATCTCCAGGCTAAAAACTTGTCCAGCCCCTCTCCCCAGGAAAAGAAGTTGTCTGGGGAGGTGCTGGGTATTCCCACCGTCTCTGTGTTGTGCCGTGGCTCCCAGAAGCATTCCACATTCTGGGATAGGGGCCTCAGTGTAGCATCCATGGGACACAGCTCTGCTGTCTTATCAGGTGTAGAGGGTTGGCTGGGTGTGATTCCAAGGCTGGGGTATTCACTGGGATGCTGGTCCCTGTCCCTGCAGGAAGCCATCCAGCTGGATGGACAGATCCTCTTCTCACTGCTGCACAAGGTGTCACCTGTGGCCTACAAGCACCTGAGCAAGCAGAAGATCGACCCCATCCTGTACATGACGGAGTGGTTCATGTGCGCCTTCTCCCGCACGCTGCCCTGGAGCTCTGTCCTGCGTGTCTGGGACATGTTCTTCTGTGAAGGTAGGAGCTCCCCACCATCCTCCTCCTCCTCCTCCCAGGGTGACTGCACTCCCTGTGGCCATGGGACCTGTAGCAGGGTAGGTTTGGGGTAGCCACATGCCTGGGGTGGAGATGGGCTGTTTTCCTGGGGGTTAGGAGGCATGTATATCCCAAATTCACCCTTTTGCATGTCCTGGCTGTTAGTGGGACTGGGCTCTGCTGCCCCATAGCATTTGAGGGATATGGTGGCAGCGTGAGCCTGTCCCGCCTGGTACTCACTGCTTCACATTTCCTCTTGCAGGAGTGAAGATCATCTTCCGGGTGGGCCTGGTGCTGCTCAAACACACCCTGGGCTCCTCGGACAAGCTCAAATCCTGCCAGGGCCAGTATGAGACCATGGAGAGGCTGAGGGCCCTCAGTCCCAAAATCATGCAGGAGGCCTTCCTGGTGCAGGAGGTGAGGTGCTGGGGACGGTCGGCGGGGCCCGTGCTGCCCAGCTGGCCAGTGCTGCCAGACTGGGCTGTCCCTGGGTGGGCGGAGCACGGGGAGCAGCTCCCAAAAAGCTTAGTTAGCGGTTGCCTCTGCCCTCAGGGGCAGCCCCTGTAGCGCTGTCGCTGATGGCACAAGTGTCCCCACAGGTCATCGAGCTGCCGGTGACGGAGCGTCAGATCGAGCGGGAGCACCTGATCCAGCTGAAGAAGTGGCGGGAGACGCACGGGGAGCTGCAGTGCAAGTCCCCCCCGCGCCTGCACGGCGCCAAGGCCATCAGCGAGGCGGAGCCTGCGCCGCGCAAGGCGCTCGAGTCCGTCCCCTCCATCTTCGTCTCCCCCGGGCCCGCCCCCGTGCCCAAGGCCCGCAAGAGCAAGGAGAAGAGCCGGGAAAAGGGCCCGGCCAGTCCTGCCAACGGCCCCGGGGCCGAGGGCAACGGGGCGCCCGGCACGACCCGGGAGCTGCTGCACCCCCAGGCCTCCCCCCACCACCAGTCCAAGGAGAGCCTGAGCTCCCGGGAGAGCGAGGACACGTACTTGTAGGGCCCGGCTAACAGCCCGGGCAGCCGGGCTCAGCAGGGCTGCGCACGGACCCGGGCACGAGGACACCGAGGGGGAACCCTGGCACCTGGCGCTGGGGGCTCTGAGCTGGAGGGATGGGACAAGGGGACTGTGCGGCTCCGTGAGAACAGCGTGGCCCTCTCGGGGCATCCACGGAGCTTGGCCAGGTGTGGTGACCAAAGGGGACACCGTGGGTCTGCGCTGGGTGCTGGCACCACGAGCAGTGGGAGCCCGGGCAGGGGGTGGCTGAGCCACCCGAGCTTCCTCCCCACACTGCGGGGCTGGGCTGCCCCTCGGGCCCTTCTCCCTGTCCCAGAGCCCCTCGACCCATCACCCCCCGGGTCCCTCCTGCAGCCCCCACCCTGCGCCAGCCAGGCAGCCCCAGCCCCAGTTCCCGAGCACTTAGGCCTGGCACAGGGCACTGGGGGTACACGAGGAGCCGGGGACCCCTTGCCCCCCTCTTATCTAGTGAGGATATATCAAACTGTAGCCCTATATGTAGTACCCAAGTTACCTACTCACTGAGCCTATTTATTATTTCTCCGAGGCAGGACAGGGACCGAGGCAGGATGCGCTAGAGGTAGCGGGATTTGATGCCAAGTTTCGGGGCTAAAGCCCCCTCATCCCATCCCCTCCCATCCCCAAGCTCCCCACAGCTCTGGGGAAGTGTTTACCCTGCCAGGGCTCACTCCACCACTGCCGCCCCCCCCAGCCCCAGCGCAGGTGAGATGGGGTGGGTGAGCAGCAGCCAGGTGCTTCCTGGTTGTGGGGTCCCCTCTGCCCCCCCTGCCCTCCCCGAGGGCGGGTGGTGGGTTTGTAAAATAAAGTGGGAAAAGCAGTTTTGTACAAAGGGGTCAATAAAGCGAGTGTGTAAAGGCGCAGCCCTGGCTCCCATCTCTCTTGGCTTGGGATGGGGGGTGGAGGGTGGCAGGAGGGAAGAGTGTCACCTCCCACTTGCTGCACCAGTGCCAGCTTTGGAGACACCCCGACCTGGACCCTAGCCATGGTTCTCTGTCCCTGGGCAGCACTCCCTCATGCATCCCATTTGCACTGGACACTGTCCCTGGCATGCACCCTTCCCTGGGGTCCCATCTCCCTTGGCTGCCTTCGTCCTGGGGGTAGGTGCTGGGCAGTGTCCTGGGACGGGCCACACTGCTGTCACGGCTCTGTCACTGCTCTGTCACTGCACTGTCACTGCTCTGTCACCGCAGACAGTGGCCCAGCCCCACTGTCTCACCCAGCCTTGAGGCTGCCCGTTTGAAGTGGAGTGGGAGGAGGCTGTGACCCGCCCCAGTTTGTGATAGTGGTGGCTGCCAGGCCCTGGCAGGTGCCATGGGGTGCACTCCCATGCCAGCACCCAGGCCTTTCCCCTTCTCCCACTGTCGCAGTTCTGTGGCTGAACAGAGACCTAATTAATCCCATAACACCCCAGAACTCAGCTTCCCATCCCAAAATGGTGGTCAGGCCGTCTCTCTCTTGCTTCCTGCAGGCAGGACTTCTGCCCAAACCTCCATTCCTCCCTCCAGAAACCCCTCTTTCCTGGAGGTGGCCCTGGTTTGGCGAATCCCCTCTCCAGGCCTGGTGCTGGGGCTGAGCATGTGGGACCCGGCTGGGTGCTGGGGTAGGGGGTAGGTTGGGTTTGGCAGTGGCTCCCAGAGGATCTCCCTTGGTTGGGCACTCCAGGCTGTTGAACTGAGTCTGGTTTGGGCACCCAGGGCTGCAGTTCGAGGGTACCCCGGGACTCAGTTGGAGCTGCTCCAGGCACGCCGGGGCGTTGAATTTGGGCTGGTTTGGGCACCATGGAGTTCTGTACTGGGGCTGGCTCCGAGGCTCCTGTGAGGATATCCCGGGTCTCTGAACTGAGGCCGCTCTTGGAGCGCCGGGCCCGGCTCGTTGCGTTTCTCGCGGTTCGGAGCGGTGCCGGGGCTGTCCCAGGGCGGTACGGGGCGGTGCCGGGTCAGGTCCCGAAGCGATGCGGGGCGGTCCCAACGAGATGCCGGGCGTTCCCAGATCGGTCTCTGGGCGTGAGGGCGGTGACAGGGCGTTGACGAAGCGATGCGAGGCGGTTCCGGAGCTGTCCCGGAGCGATGCGGGGCGGTCCCGGGGCGGTCCCGTGTCCGCCCTTATAGCGGCGGCGGCGGCGGTTCCCGGGGCGGCGCGGCCGCCATGGACCTGCACATCTTGGAGCACCGGGTGCGGGTGCTGAGCCTGGCCCGCCGCGGGCTCTGGCTCTACACCCACCCGCTGCTCAAGCTGCTCTTCCTGCCCCAGCGCTGCCGGTACCGGCTTCTCTCCCCCCACCACCCTCCTCCTCCTCCTCCTTCTCCTCTTCTTCCCCCGATTCCCCGCCCCGAGAGACGGCGGCGGTTTTGGGATCAGCAGCGCCGATTTCTTCTTCTTCAGATGCAAGTTCTTCAGCCTGACGGAGACCCCCGAGGACTACACAGTCATGCTGGACGAGGAGGGCTTCAAAGGTACCGGGCTGTGGCCTCTTGGCAGGGCGGGCTGGCACCGCAGGCACGGGCTGTGCGCGTCCCCAGCCCAGCTCCATGCTCGGGCCGCAGGGAGCGAGTCCCGGCTTGTGCTTGGCTCCCTCGGAACGTGCCCATCCCGTCCCCTCGGCGCCTGCGCCGGGATGTGCCGGCTTGCCCGGCCGAGGCTCTCCCGGCGTGGCTGCCCCCGCTCCGACAGCAGAGCTGCCCCCCGGCTGTGGTACCGGACTGCGGAGAGCCCGGTGCCAGCCCGGAGCCCGGGTGCTCCCGGCAGGGCGCAGGGACCTCCCGAGGTGCCCGCGGGCAGCGCTCCAGGCTCTCGCATCTCTGTCATCATTCCCGTGTCCAATTTCATCCCGTCCCTCCGCCCCGTGAGGGCCAACCGGAGCTTTGGCAGAGGAGGGTAAAGCACAGGCCCATCCAGGCTGGCAGGGGTGAGCCCTGTCCGGCAGCAGGGTGCAGGTTTTGGGGTGTCCTTAGGAGGTTTGATCCCTTCCGGGCCAGTCCGTCTTGCAGGGATGTGCCATTTGGTGACGTCCCCAGCGCTGGTGACACGACTCGTGCTGTGCATCGCCCTCACCGCCGCTCCTGCCGGCGGTACCGGCCCAACGGGCTGAGCCGGAGGGTCCGGATCCTGGCCCGGCTTCCCACGCCCAAACCTTCCTGCCGAGGCCGCAGGAGCCGGGCACAGCGGATCCTTGGCCGTGACCCAAGGAACAAGGGTCAGGGCTCCTGCCACGGCCACTCACGGCCAGGTCCCAGGCTCGCCTCCCGCGTCCCGGGCTCTCCCCGCTCCCAGAGCCAGAGCTGTTCCCCATGTATTGTTTTATTTCGGGGCCTGCGGACAAATATTCCCCGATCCCGAGGGGAGGGCGGGAAGTGCTGAACAATAGTCCTGCGAGCCTGCAGTGCCCTGTGAGCCCCCCTCGGCTGGGGGGCTGCCAGTGTCCCCCCGCTGCCGGGCTGGAAGGGGACTCCCAGCAGAGGAGAGCTGCACCCCCCTTCCCTTGGGGATCAGGATTAAGCCCTGGGGTGAGTGACACAGGGACAGCGGGGTCCCCTTGCATTCAGCCTCGCCCAGGGTGGTGTTGAAAAGCAATTAAACACTGAGCTCTGGGACAGGTCCCCATGTCCCCGAGTCTCTGTCCCGCCCCCCTGTTCCCAGCACTGGGCCCTGGGCTGGAGCCGAGGCTGTTCTGGCGCTTCCTGCACAGGAACAGGCGCTGGGAACACCCGCCGAGGCCCTGGATCCGGCCCCGCTCCCGCCCTGCCCCGGGCCGAGTTTGGGAGCAGAGTACAGATGGAATCCCTCTCAGTGGGTGCTGGACCCTCCCCCCGTGCTCCCCTCCACCACTGCTGGGATGTGTTTGGGGTCCCAGATGGGCTTGGGCGCTGAATGCCCACCGAAGGGCTTGGGGCATGTGTGATCTCCCATGGGAGCTGCTCCCACCTTTCCTGGATGGGAGGAGTGGATTGGAGACCTCTTGAGTGCCCTGGTCCATCCCTTGCTGGGAAGGAGAGCCCAGAGAGGAGGGTGCAGCCTGGCTGAGTCCTGGCGACTCCAGCAGTGCCAGCCCCTCTGCTGGGCAGGAGGGTGGCAGCAAGGGAGGTGGGAGGCAGGAACAGCTGGCATATGCCACCCTGGGCCCTCTGCCAGCCTGGGCTCTCTGCACCAGGCTGGCACCAGGTGCTGGGACCCCCAGGACAGCGGGATGACCCTCCCTTTGTTCCCTCCAATGCTCCGTGTGCATCCCTGGTGGTGGGTGCCAGGTTGGGTGCTTCTGGGGACAGAGGATGAGCTGGGCAGCCCCAGGGCTATTTTTGAGGTGCAGTGCCAACACCCCTATGCACCCAGCCTGGAATGCTGGCACCAGGGAGGAGAGACACATCTTGGGGTTTGGGGGGGCTGTGGGCTTGGGCCTCCTCCTGGCCAAATCCCCGTGTGGAGAGGCTGAGCCCTGTCTGGCTCATTCCACCTGTGGATAGGGCTCATCTGCACCTCCAAACCAGTGTCCCCACACCTGGGGCTCATCCTGTCTTGGGTCCCCCGTCACCCAGGGGATGGTGTGACATGCAGTGCCTGAGCTGCCACTGCCTCTGTGTCCAGCTATGGTGAGCCCTGTGGAGCCACCTGCCTCAGTGTCCCTTGTCCCTCGCAGAGCTGCCTCCTTCCGAGTTCATGCAGGTGGCAGATTCCACGTGGCTGGTGCTCAGTGTCGTCTCCAACGGGCGGGAGCCCCCCGGCTGCCAGGCCACCGGTGTCACCAAGATCGCGCGGTCGGTCATCGCGCCGCTGGCCGAGCACCACGTCTCGGTGCTGATGCTCTCCACGTACCAGACTGACTTCATCCTGGTGAGTGACGGGCACGGTGGCACCTGGCTGGCACGGTGGCACTCTGTGCCCTGCAGGAGGGGTGGCAGTGCAGGCACTGACCCTGCCCTGGGGCAGGTGCGGGAGCGGGACCTGCCCGTCGTGATCCACACGCTGGCCGGGGAGTTCGACATCTACAGGGAGGAGAGTGGCGAGTGTGTCCCTGTCACCTGCGATGATGTGAGCAACGGCTTCCTCAAGCCCAAGCCACGTGAGTGACACTGGGCTCTGCGTCCCCTGGGGCCCACCCAGATCCTCCAGCTATAGCTGGTGGTGCCTATATCCTTGAGGGACCTCCAGGGCCACCCAGGCCCCATAGAGGTGATACAGTTTCCAGCAGTGGAACCCACATCTTTGGGGGACCCCCAAGGCCACCCTGTCCCCAGGCCACACTGTCCCAGAGCCATCCAGTCGCTGCCAAGATGCTACTCCCATGGATGTTTCCCATATCCTGGGGGACCCCCATGGTCACCCTGTTCCCAAGACCACCCAAGTCCCTGCCAAGGTACTCCTGCTTCCATCAGTGGTACTTAGGTATTTGGGGGACCCACCAAGATGCTCCAGTTCCCACTGGAGTTGCCCATCTGAGCACACCCAGGGCCACCCAGTCCCCACCGAGATGTTGCAGCTCCCACCGGTGGTACCCCCATCCTTTGGGACCCCCGGGCCGCCTCTCTGCTCTCTGAGAGACTCCGGGCTGTGGGCGCGGTGGCCACGGGGTGGCACTGCGGGACTGTCCCCGAGCTGTCCCCAGGCCTGATGCGCGACCGTTCCCCTGCCAGCCACCAGCCCCACGCTGCACCCAGTGCAGAGCCCCCAGACCCGCTTCTGTGTCCTGACGGTGGCCCCCGACACGCTGCCCGCCATCGCCACCATGCTCATCGACGTCCTCTTCTACTCCCACAGGTGAGTCCCGGGGATGGGGACATGGGGGTGGCCTCTTGCCTGGTGCTACCTGAACTGCAGTGGCATTAATCCCAGCCATTGGTCCCAGTGGGTTTTCAGACTCTGGGTGTGTTTTCCAAATTGGTTTTGCCTTCCCGGGAGCTACACTGTGAGGGGTGGGAACCCCGAGGTGACACAAGTGACAAAGCCACCATTGTAGCAAATCCCGGAGGGGAGACTGTAAAGCAAGAGGGTGTGAGTTTGGAAAAGGCAGTGGGAATGGAGCTGGGAGGAAGAAATGCTCCTGATCGGGTCCTCCCGTGTCGCCTGGGATGGGGTCCCTTCTGATGGCATGCTCCAGAGTGACTGTGGTCTTTTGAGCATTCCTCAAAACCTAGTGTCTGTCACCTCTGAGCTGCAGACCCTGTGGGGACCACCTGCTCCTGTCCTTTCTCTCCCCACCCTGCAGCACCCCAGTATGATGCTCAGACACCCAGTGCCAGCACCAAGCCCTTCTCCTCCTCATTTTGGGGGTCATGACCCCTCCCTGTGTCCCCTTCCCCCTCAGCAGCCCCCCGTGGGATGCAGCCACCAGCAGCCAGGACCTCGACTCCATCACCTTCTTCTCCTTCTCCCTCATCGAGGGCTACATCTCCATCGTGATGGATGCTGAGACCCAGAAGCGGTAGGTGCCATCCTGGGGCTGTCTGTCTCTGGGTCTGGGTGACACTGAGCTCAAAGAGTGACACTTGGCTTCATCCCCTCAGCTTCCCCAGTGACCTCCTGCTGACCAGCTCCACAGGGGAGCTGTGGCGGATGGTGCGGATTGGGGGGCAGCCCCTCGGCTTCGGTGAGTCTGACCGTGGTGGCCGTGTCCCCTCTTGTGCCACTGCCACCCAGGGAGTGCTCTGGGCCTCTGCTGTCCCCGTATGTCCCCATGGCAGTGACCCAAGCCCCCCTTTGCCCCCCCAGACGAGTGTGGCATCGTGGCGCAGATCGCAGAGCCGCTGGCAGCCGCCGACATCTCGGCCTATTACATCAGCACCTTCAACTTTGATCATGCCTTGGTGAGCCCCTGCCCCTCCCCGGGTCCCCCTGCCAGCCCCGGGGTGTCCCCTGGGGCTGACACCCCCGTGTCCCCCGGCAGGTCCCCGAGGAGGGCATCGCCGAGGTCATCCAGCTGCTGCAGCAGCGGCAGGAGAGCAGCAGATAGGGGTGACTGTCCCCACACTGACTGACTGTCCCAGCGTGGTGTCCCCCCTCCTCCCCACCCAAATTCATTAGTTATGAATTTTAATGATCCCCCAGCACAGGACAGAACCGGGCACAGCATCGCTCCCTCTGTGCTGGGGGAGTGGTGGCTTTGGGGACATGGTGGCCTTGTGCCCGTGGGAACTGGCCCACAGGAGAGGGGTCAGTGCCTGTGTGCCATCCTCTCCCTGTAGCCTGGCCTGTGCAGGGTGGGTGGCCAAGGGCAGAGTGGGTGTGTCCAGGTGGAGGGGACACGGTGGGGGCAGAGGGGGGACATGCCAAAGAGCGATGATGTGCCACCCTGGTGCTATAGGGGACAGCCTGGGGCCGATGTGATGTGTCCCCTTGGGAAGGGAGGGGTAGCCACGATGCTCAGGGACAAGCCCATGGAGGGGAGAGCATTCCTGGAGCTGGGGTTACCCCTGGCACTCCAAAAATCTCAAAGGGGGCAGTGGATGGGCTCTGTTTCACTGCCAGCCCTGGCTGTCACCTGTCATGGAGGAGTAACAGTGATCTCCAGCCCCTCACAAGTTGTATTTTCACATAGTTTTTGATAAGTCAATAAAATTCTTCTTATTTTTATTTCTGTGTAGCCCAGGGAGGTTGATCAGAGTTGGTCCCTGTGTTGGTTACAGGGATTGGGATGGGACAGGGAGACAGAGTCCTGCTGTGAGGTGACTGGGACACGGCCACTTTCTCTGCTCTGTATTTTGGGTGAAAAAATGGGTTAAAACTGCAGCCCCCAGCAAATCACTGGCCCTGGGGAAACCCAGGCCCACATTTATGGCCTGCTCCTGCCCCACACTGGGCCAGGCACGAGCTTGACAGGGATGTCCCTGTCACACTGCCACTGTGTCCCCACGTCCTGTTCCCTTGCTGGCAGCATGGCACCCTGTGGCAAAGTGGGGTACATGGGGTGGGGACTGTGCCCTCCGGGGGGTGCTGCAGCCATTGGGTGCCCCCAGGGCATCCCTGCTCCTCAGCCAGACCCAGCACGAGCATGGTGGGAACCTCTGCTCCCATCCTGTCCCCAAAATCTGCCCCCTGCTCTCCTACGTTCCAAGCAGGACTGTGCCCTCGTCCTGGCACATCTTGCCCACGTCAGCCCCACACACTTGCAGCCACCAGCTTCCTGCCACTCTCTGGGTGCTCTCTTTCCTGTGTCGGTCCCTTCTCGAAGTCATGGGACGCCGGTGACGCGCTCCCAGCGATGAAGAAATTGCCACTGGCCCATGCGGTCACCAGCGCTATTTTTGTCCCTGTTGGGTATTGCACAGTCCTGGCCACCACTATGGTGTCCTGCTGGCCCAGCCCAGGGGGTGACAGTGCCACATGGAGGGGCCAGGGCCACCTGTGGCTTGGGGAGAGCTGAGGGTGGGGGCCCTGATCACCCTCGTGACAGGGCATGGATGGATGGATAAGAATGGAACAGGAAAAAATGGATGGATGGATGGATGGATGGATGGATGGATGGATGGATGGATGGATGGATGGATGGATGGATGGACATCCTGTCTAGGCAGCCTGAGGGATGGACAAACTGCTGTGGAGTGAGTGAGATCTTCTCCTGGTTCCTCCACCTCTCCAGGAGTGCCCTGGGTACAGCCCTGCCCACCCTGGCCCCATGGAACCCACCCCAGCCGCCACCTCTGCCGGGGAGGCCCCGGGGAGGAGGAAGAGGAGGAGTCGTCAGAAGCAGCTGCTGGGGGAAGCAGACCGTGCAGGTCATGGCGCGGCCGGGGCAGGGAAATTTTGGGAAAAGAAAGCATTTCTGAAAGTGAGTCATCGCTGCATCCTTCCTCCTGGAAGGAGCTGCTAATTTCTGGGTCATCTCCCTGCGCCAATATCGAACTCTCCAAATGCGTAAATTCGGCGAGGGTCACCAAAATCAACGGGATTGCGCCACACCTCGAAACGCTGATCGGCGACATTCATCTCTAAGGAACGGGAAAATCTCCTGTCGGTGCCGGGCTGCGCCTGCCAGGGAGGGGAGCTCAGGGGACAAGGGACTACCCTGGGTGCTGCTGGCTGTGCCGAGGCCGTGGCAGCCCCAGGGCTCTCCCAGGGCACTGTTGCACAAGGGGCAGCTCTGCCTTGGGCAACACTCGGCGCCCTCGGTGTTCCCGTGGGTGCTGCTGGGCAGGGAGGCTAAGCCTGCTGTCCCTCACTTGGTTCAGCACCCAAATTTGTCACCCAGAGGTGTGGGTGGGTGTGAGCAGGAGAATGGAACATCCCCCGGAGCATCAGGCAGTGCTGGGGTGCCCTGCTCTTCCCACACCTCTCTCCTTGCCAGAGTAGATTTTTGCCTCCCATAGCTGGATTTGGGTTGCGAAACACCCCGTGGTGGCACATGGGTGACATCCCTGTCCCCGCTGCCAGCCGCCGCTGCCCTCTTTTGCATTGGGGTTTCGGGGCAGCCGGCGCTGGTTTCAGTTCAGTGTCGGATGCTGAGCGGTGACATCAGCGTGAATCAAAAAGTCTCTTTCCCAAGAAGCCAGGACTCGGGAGTGCTGCCGGATCCGGGATGAGCAGTGGGACCGCAGCCTCCCAGGCTGGACCCACCGGGACTCCCTCGAGGAACTGACTCGAAGAACATCCCCATCATCCGTCCGGCCCCATTTCCTCCCGGCGCTGCTCTCACCCTGTTCATTGGCCCCCGGGGCATGGCTTCACTTCTCGTTGCCTTCCGTTGGGTCCGGGTGCCTCCTTCGGAGGTGGGGGTGACTCGGGTGCGCTTTAAAAGCCGAGCTTCCCCATCGCCGAGCACTTAAGGAAGTGGCTTGCGCGCCCGGCAGCCCCGGGCGGACACCCTGCCCCGGCCATGCGGTGCGACGGGCGGCCCTGGCAGGTGCTGGCAGGTACGTGTGTGCCCGTGTCCCCGTGTCCCCTCTCGCTCGCCCCGGCCGCGGAGCGAAGCGGAGGGAGCGCGGCCGCGGGGCCCCCATGGCGCTTGAGTCAGCCGTGCCGTGGCAGATGGCACCGAGGGTGTCCCACGGCAGTGTCGCCTCCCTCGGGCGCTGGCGGGGACGAGGACATTCCCCGCCGTGGCACATGGGGAGCACTGGGAGAGAGGGGATGCTGGGAGAGATAGGCAGGAGGGGACAGTTTGGGGACCAATGGCAGAAGGTCAGGGGTCAGCTTTCCAAAGGGACAAAGGCTGTGTGTCACCCCAGTGCCATATCCCTAGTCCTGTACGTGACAACGGCACTGAGACAGTGACTGGCCAGAGCTGGATAGAGGGACTGGATCCGGGAGTGTCGCTGCTGTCCCTTCCTTTGCGGTGGCCCGCACTGGCAGGGGGAGCTGCTGGAGCAGCTGCTGTGGTTGGTCTGCGCATCCTGACTGCTCCATAGCACCTCCAGCACCCTCATCCTCCTCCCCGCCGGCTGCCCAGCAGGTTTTTGGGGCAGGGGCTGGATCATCCCTGGAGAGGGGATGGAGACTGTGGTGCAGGCAACATTCCTGGCGCGGAGGTAGTGACACCCTGTGAGAGAGGGCAGTGTCCCTGCACCCAGCGATGCCCCAATGGCCCCTGACCCCTCCTCTTCCTCCCTAGCTGTCACCAAAGGGCTCCTCATCCTCTGGGCAGTGCCGGGCCAGGGGGGCAGGTCCCCGCTGGCCCCCACCGTGCAGCAGACCCAGGCGCTAGTGAGGCTCATGGCCGAGGACGCGCAGGAGCTCTTCACTTTCTACGTGAGTCCCCTTCCCCAGGACGAGGGGTCACGCCTGTCCCCTCCACAGGGCAGGTGGGGGCGGTCCCCGTGCCGCTTCCACATACCTGATCTTCCTCTCCAATCTCTGGGCAGGAGAAGGAGCAGCACCTGGACATCGACAACATCTGCCGCACCGACAATACCCCCGAGTGGCTGCGGAGGCCGGCGAAGGGGCCTTGGGGGCTGCGGAGGCTGCGGAGGCCCATGATCCACATGGACCAGGCGCTGCAGGACATCATCCGGCACCAGCTCAACCTCCACCACCCCGAGGCCGAAATCCTTCGGCGCTTGAGCAGGACCCACCGTAAGGTGCGAGCGCTCCTCAACAACCTGGCGGGGCTCTTCCCGGCCCCCAACCCTCGCCCCGGCCACCGGCCCCTCCCCAGCCCCGCGGCATCCCTCGGCATCTTCCAACAGAAGCTGCAGGGGTGCCAGATCCTCTGGAGCTACGCCCGCTTCATGGCCGAGCGCAGCGCCGAGCTGAGCGCCGGGAGCCGCCGGACGCGCCGGGAGAAGGGGAGATCGCAGCGGGGCTCACGGCTGCCTGCCCGCCCCTAGGGCAGCCCCGCCGGCACCGGAGTTCCCGTCTGCATCTCCATCATCTCCTCCATCTCCACCCCATGTGACGCGATCCCAACCCCATTCCCAGGTTGGAGATGCGTCCGATGGCACCACGGAGCCCCTCTCACCTCACCGGAGCCAGGGCTCGGATGCGCTGACAGCATCTCCTGCCGCTTCGGCTCCTCGTGGGGACTCTGCTGTCCCCGTGCCACCACTCGGCTGCAGGACAGCCCTGGTTGGCTCTCCCACATCCTGCCCCACTTTCCTGTGGATCCAGGTAGCCCCAGTGGAGGCGGGTGTCCCCCGGATGCTCAGCTGTTCCCTGTCCCCAGCCCTGCCGGATTTTCCAGTGATTCAATGGGTCGGGTGACACAGCCTGACTAAGAGCTGCTCGCCCAGCACCCGACACAGGGGCCCACAGAGAGCGCTGCTGCCACCGGCGACTGTCACCGGTGTTGTCACCTCCTGCCTGCCCTGTGCGAGCTCTGCTCCCAGAGAGCAGCTGGGAGTGGAATTCTGTGTCCCTGCACAGTCTGTGTCCCTCTGTGCTTGGTGTCCCCAAGCTCTGTGTGCCTTTGCACATCCCTGTCCTCATCCTGTACGCTCAGTGTCCCCTGTGCTCGGTGTCCCCGTGCTCCAGTGTCCCCAGGCTCACTCCTGCACACTGGATGTTCCCATATTCCCAGCATCCCTGTTTCCTCCATATCCCCCCTGAGCCTCCCAGGCCGTGCCACCACAGCCCTGACTGTACCCAGCAGGGACTCGGCTCTGGCCACTGCACTGTGACAGTGGGTGACAGCCCCCACTGCCTCCCCCTAATTTATACATTAATATTTGTGTGTTCATTGTATTTATTGATTGTTGGGGTTAATTTAACTCCTGCAGCTTGCAGAAGTATTTAAGGACATTTCTAATATATAAATATCTATTTTTATTATATTTTTTGTACGGTGTTAAACTGTGAGCATCACAAGGATTTATTTATGTACGTTGATATTTTTGGTACACATAGGAGGGCAGTGCCCCCGTCCACGTGGCACTTCTTTATTTTTTGTACAATGGCAGAAGGAAATAAAGTGCTGACCGAGGCCCATGGACCATTGAGATGTCGTGTCTCTGTGTCCCTTTGTCCCTGTGTCTGTCCTGGTGGCTGTGGGCAGGGACAGGCTGTATTCTGGTGGCCAGGTTGTGCCCGATGTCCTTGGCAGGACACATGGGATGTGACATGGGGTGGTGTGGCACGCAGTGGGGAATGTGGGACAACATGGTGTGACACGTGGCACGGCACATGCTGGGATGTGGCCCATGGCATGGCACAGAATGTGGCACACCGTGGGATGTGGCACAGGACATGTGACACGACAGGCCATGGTGCCACGACAGGGCCTGGCAGTGCCAGGAATGTGCCATGCCATGGTACGGCACAGGCCGCAGGACACCTTGTGCCACGTGTCACAGCCCTGTCTGGGTCATCGCCACAGCCACGCTGAGTGCAGTGTCCTGCAGTCTGGCCAGGGCCACCCGCTGCCACCAGAGCCTCTGAGTCAAAAATCCTGAGACCTGGTCATGTGTCCCCATGGAGTCACTCGTTCCCTGTGGGTGCCCTGTGCGCTGCCCGCACTGCCCGGCTCTGCGGCCGGCACTGCTGCCTGAGTCAGTCCCGGGAGCATCGCCACCAGGACGGCCACCACGGCCATCTGGGGACATTCGTGGTGGGACCATGTCACCATGAAGCAGCCCGGGCCAGCTTGGCATGCTGTGGGTGACCGTGACAGTGACCGTGACTGTGCCACCACCGAGCTTCCCAGCCAGCTCTGGAGAGGGCTGCGGAGGGGAGGGGCAGGTACGTGACATCCCGGGACCATGGGGAGGGCTGGGGGACCCCAAAAATACGGTGACACCAGCTGAGTGTCCCTGAAGGGATGGTGGCTTCTCTGGTGTTCCCAAGGGGACACCCAAGGGGACCCAGTGCCCACTCCTGGATGGGTGACACCTGTGGGTGACGCTGCTGAAGTGGCACGGGTGGGGTAACATTGGTGAGGTGGAAGGGTGGGATGGCACCAGTGGGGTGACAGCAGTGGGGCACAAGGACAGGGGTGAGGAAGCCCCAGCAGGGACCCGTCGTGAGTCAAAGGGGAATTCGGTGCCCTCCGTTATTCAGCTCTGGATTTCCCCGGGACAGGAGCACCTGCCTCTCTCAGCCCCAGCTCAGCCCCCTGGGAGGGGCCCCCAGACACCCCTGATCCCACCACAGCCTCATACCCACACTTGGGGGACACCCAGGGCTTTTGGTGACCCTGGAATCTGGGTGTCTCCCCTGCACGGGGACACCGTGAGATGGGGACCTGGAGGGGAGCCAAAGGGGTAAGGATCGGGCTTGGGGGGCAATTATGAGGTGGGGCAATAATGGGGGGAGTGGGGGCAGTTCTGAGAGGGGCTGGGGCAGTTCTGAGAGGGGCTGGGGCGAGGGGGACAATGATGGGAGGGGGATGGGCTGGAGGGGAGAGTTACTGGCTGGGGAGAGGAGAGGTCTGGGGTGGGGAAGGGGCAGGGGGCAGCTCCGGAGCAGGGATGGGGATGGATCAGTTCTGAGCTAGGATGGGGCGGCGGGGGCAATTATGGGATGGGGAGAGGCCAGTTCTGGGCTGGGGCAGCAGGGGGCAGCACGGGGACAGGGATGGGGACTGGGATGGGACAGGGATGAGCGAGCATGGAACAGGGATGAGGAGGGGGCAGCATAGGGACAGGGAAGAGGGAACAGCAGGGGGACAGGGTTGCGGCAGAGAGGCATCATGGGGACAGGGAAGGGGACAGGGACGGGGCAGGGTGTCTGCGATGGAGCTGAGGACAGTGATGGGCATGGGTGCTCGGAGGGGACCGCTCGGAGGGCACAGAGCAGCAGCATGGCAGCGGTGGCCTTGGAACAGCCTGGGCTTCTCCTCCTGTCACTGGGCATGTCGGCAGTGGGGATGAAGGGGGTAGTGGGGACAGGGGGGACAGGGGGGACAGGGGGAACAGGGGGGACAGCTGTGCTCTGACCAACCTGCCCCTGGAGCCCCCAAATCCCCCAGGTCCCTGATCCCCAGTCTTTTCTGACGGGGAGGGCTGGCTCCCCCCGTCCCTGCTCCCTCGCCTCCTTGGGACACTCTGGGTCCCCCCGCCCCTGTCACCGTCTCTTCACGCTCCTACATCCCCGTTCCTGCTGTCCATCTCCATGGGGCATCGGCACAGGATCCGTGAGGGGAAATTCCTGCTACCAAAGGGTTTGGGAAAGGGGACATTGCTGGGCATCATCTCCCATCCTGGTACCTCCCACCCTGGCATCTCCCATTCTGCCATCTCCCTATCCCGCCTGTCTGGAGCGGGAATTCGGGTTTTCCCATCGGAGCATCCCCCCTGCAGAGATCCAGCGTCTCTCCGCGGGTTTGTCTTTTTTCCTAGAGAAAACCCATCCTTTAATCCTCGCGCTTTAGCCCTAAGGCCTGAGCTGCGGATGGGGACACCGGTGTCACCTTGATGATCCCACCATGATCAGGGGTCCCACACCTCTCGGTGGCCAAAGCCCAGCTCAGCTCCAGCCTGGACTCAGTCGCTCCTGGGAAATCCAGGGAAAGGGCAAAATCCATGTCAACCCCCGCCCAGGACGTTCCCTATGCTAATAATTAAGTGTTATTAATTCCTCAGCTAATTAAGTGCGTCAGGCCATCAGATGTCCATCAATACGTGATGTGCTGCTCCCCGTATCCCAAAAAGACTGGGATGGGGCTGCAAGGCGGGAGATGGAGCTCATGGTCCCGCCCTCCACAGTCCTCAGCTCATCTCTGATGTCCCCCTAAGACCAGACTGGGCTAAACTGGGCTGGGGCATCAATGCCACCGGCAAACGAGGCTGGTCCTTGCATGGGGAAACTGAGGCACGCAGCAGCTATGGCCCAACCCCGCCAGCACAGGTGGGTCTTCGTGTCCCCCTGGCCGTGTCCCCCACGCCAAGGGAGGACACTCGGGGTCGTGGTGGCTCTTGCGTCATCGTTCCTGGACTGTCACCGCCGGCTCACCCTCCGGGGCACAAACTTGCTAAACCTGATTAAAGTTTCAGTTCGGCCACGGTGAGAAAAAAATACAGAGAAGGACAGAAAAATCCATTTAACCAGTTTTTCACCCCAATCGGGCAGCGAGTAGCCCCACGGTGTCCCGATCCCATGGGATCCCCACGAGACGGTGACCCTGCGCCCTCCTGTCCGCTCCAGGCAGGGGACAGCCCCGCCGAGGGAAGGGTTAACCCTGGGGGGGCCGGTCCGGCCTCTCCCCCTGGGTGGGCTTGTCCTTTTTCCTGCAGAAAACCCACCCTTTACTGATAATATTCTTGCCCAAAGGGATGAGCCAGCGGCGGGCTGGGGGACACCGCTGCCACCGCGGCCATCCCACCGTGACCGAGGAGTGCGGCATCCCGCCACCACTTTCCCGCGCCTTTCATCCCTCCAAAACCCCCCAAAAACCTCAATCCAGACTTTTTTTTTCCTCCTTCATTTTATTGCCTGCTCCGGCAGCCAAGGGGAGAAACCCCGGCCCAGGGAGGGGGACCCGGGGGTGAAAGTGCTTGCGGCTCCTGAGTCAGCACCGCGTCTTCATCACCGCGCCTCGGCACCCCCGAACCCCACGTGCGGCCGCGCACCTCCCTTGGGGGGGCTTCAATTCATCTTTCCCAGCCCACCCACTTTTCCGAGCCCGCGAGAAACAAAAGACGAAACAAAATTCGGTGTGACATAAACTTTTTTTTTCAGAAGTTTAAGAATCATTCACTATTTCCTAACTGACTTCCTGATTTCCCGTTCAATAACATTAACTATAGTCCGTGATTCTCTCCCACCCCCCTCTCCTCCCTCTTCTTACAACATAGGCTGTCTGCGGACTGGTATATAAACCCCGAGAAGTCCCCCAGTATGAACATGAATTTCTGAAAACTTCCTCTGCCAACACCAATCCCTATTAAGTAGCTCCCGGGACGCGGCTCACAATGAAGTTCGTGCCGGCAGGTAAAAAAAATAAAAAAATCGACTTTGGGGATACTATGTCCCGTTCTCCCCCTCCCCCTTTTTTCCTCCCCCTCCCCTCCTTTTGCCGGTGATGCTCGGGTGCAAGCGCTTCCCGGCTGGATGCCACCGCTGGAGACGGAGCGAGGGCTCCCGCCGCGCTGCGTCCCCCCCGGGATGAGCATCTCTGGGAATTGGCAGCGGGAGCGGAGCGCGGAGCTGGCGCGGTACAGCCAACATCTGGACACTTATATAACTGGAAATGCTTCCAAGGAAAGAAAAAAATCTCAAGGAGGGGGGGATTTTTTTTTTTTTTTTTGTACTTTTAAATACTTTTCCCCCCCCTCCTGCTTTTCCTCCATCTGGGTCTCCCGATGCCGCGAGCCTCTGCCGGGAGCACTGGAAGGATGGGGAGGCTGCCAAGTGCAGGAGGGGGGTTGGAGGGAGCAGCCCCCACCCCAGAAGCCGTTCTGGGGGGGTCCCACGGGACAGCACCCACCCGGGACCCCCCACCCACCCAGCCCTTGGCACACGTGGGTACCGAGCCTCGCCCTGCCCAGCTGTGAAATGGCAGAAGCAGCGGCCGGGGGGACACAGCGAGAGGGGCTCGTGAGGGGTCAGGGAATCTGCATCCCGTGGGAACACCCGGGGCCCCGGGGGCGCGGGGAGGCAGGGTCCCCCCGTCCCGTGCGGGAGGGGAGCGGCGGGGCAGGGATCGGAACACGCCCAGGTAAGTCCTCTCCCACCTGGGCAGGGTAAATAAATCGAGGCTTGGGTTACCCGGCACCGGCGGCACGTCCGAGGCGCTGACAAGTGCGGGCGACTTCGGCGCTCGACACGGCCCGGGGGCTTCGCCTGGCGGCTGCGGGACATGGGACCCCCACCCTGACGGGGCCCTGCTGGTCAAAGTCACCCAGCAGAGGGGACACCCCGGGCCACCCTCCCCAAGGATGCCCAGCGCACTGCGGGCTCCAGGAGCGGTTTGGCCTCCTCGAGCAGGGACGGATCCCGGTTTGGGGGAGTCCCAGCGGATTGGGGGTTGCAGCGCCCCGCTCTCAGGAGGGGACGCCGGGGCGACCCAGCTGCCGGAGGCTCAAGGGTCCCCTTGTTCCGCGTCCAGGGATTTCCTGGCTGGAGTCTCTGGCAGCTGCATCGTCTCTCCCCAGGGCTCCTCGGCGCTGCGCCCACTTCTCAGACGGGGAAACTGAGGCAGGCGGTGGGGCCAGGGGCGGGAGGAAGGAGGGAGGGCACGCCGAGAGCAGGTTTCCTTGCGGGAGCCCCGCTGAGTCAGCCGGCCCGGGGTGGGGCCTTGCTCCCGAAGCGCCCGGACCAGGGTAACGGAGTAAAAAGCGTCTTGCACGTTTGATTAAACCCGCCAGGTCGCCACCGGGCCGGTTGCGAAATGTGGGAATGCTGCGGGGCCCCCCGCCGGGAAGGGAGGCGGGGGAGCGCCCGCCGGGGGGCAGGTGAGGGGGACGGCAGCGGGATGGGAGCTGCGGCACGGCCGGGACGGCAGAGTGGGGGGTCTGGGGATTCCAGCTGAGCTGCGCGCTCACCCTAGCGGGATGAGTCCCGCTCCAGCTGGACATCCTCCCTTTGGATGCCTGGAACCGGAGCCATCCTCGGTGGATGCTCTGCACCGGCTGTAACTTGGTCCCCGTGGGCCACCACCGTGACACCGGCCTCTCTCCCCACACAGGCGTCGTGCCCTTCGTGGCCCTGCTCCTGCTGCAGCGGCGGCCCGTGGCCGGCCGGGCGCTGCTGGTGACCGGCTCCGGCTGCCCCAGCCACGGCTTGTGCCGCTCCAACGTGCAGGAGCAGACCCGCAGGCAGGTGGCCGTGCTCAACGCCACCGCCCAGGAGCTCTTCAGCCTCTATGTAAGTGGCTCTTGGGGACGGCCAGGGACCGTGGGGGGTTTGAGCCACAAGTGCATGAAGGGGGAGGGCTGGGGACACGGCGGGGACGGCGGCAGGGGGGACACAAGGGACATGGGGTGACGCTCGCCTCTCCCCTCAGCTGAAGTGCCAGGGAGAGCCGTTCAGCAGCGAGAGTGACAAGCTCTGCAACCCCGCTGGCATCTTCTTCCCCGCTTTCCGCGTCAACCGGACGAGCGAGAGGAAGGAAGTGATGGTGGCCATGTACAAACTCTTCGCCTTCCTCAACGCCTCGCTGGGCAACATCACACGAGACCAGGAGGAGCTCAACCCCATGGCCAAAGAGCTCCTGGAGCGGCTCCACAACACCACCAAGACCACCCGAGGCCTCATCTCCAACCTCACTTGCCTCCTCTGCAAGAACTACAACATCTTCCAGGTGGACGTCAGGTACGGGGACAGCTCCAAGGGCAAGAGCGCCTTCAAGAAGAAGCAGCAGGGCTGCCAGGTGCTCAGGAAGTACGTGCAGGTCATCGGCCAGGCAGCGCGTGTCCTCCTACCTCATCTCAGCCCCACATGAGCGCCCGCCCCGGCTGCGCTGCCTCTCTGCTGCTGGCCGGCTCCCGCCGCTGCCTCCCGAATTCCCTATTTATTACACGGACCCTGAGCTGGCCCCATCCGCCCTCCGGTAATTTATTGCCCCTTGAGGGGGTGACCATTGCAGCCCGGAGTGTCCCGGGCAGAGCAGAGCCAGCATCCAGCAGGACGAAGCAGCGCATCCCCAAGGAGATGCCGGGGCGTGGGGCTGGTCCCAGGGTGTGCCTCAGCCATCCCCGTGCTCCCATGGGGTGCGGGGAGCTGTGGGGCTGGCGGCAGGGCCGGACTCTGTCCCCCAAGGACGGTGTCACCACGGAGAGCAAGCGGACAGATGACCTTGAGCACCGTCTGAAGGCTGTCACTTCCCTGGAAAAAGGACTGTGAGGAAGGACATTGGGATGAAGAGGCTGGCAGGGACGTGGAGACATGGGGACACGCTCCCCCTGCACATTTCAAGGCTGGGCTCCTCTGCAAGGAGCCAAACTGAGGGTACTGGTGGCTGTGCTGGCTGGGGCTGGGTCCCACCGTCGGGGACAAGGCCACCTGTGTGGGACAGTCACCTCACTGTGGAGCACCATCCCCCCGCGCGGGCACGGCGGGGCACGGAATGTGCTCTCCTTTGGGAAAGCGCTTTTCCCATTGGAAGAGCTCTGAATGTACTAACGGCCACGGGCTGGGCTTTGCACGGCTGAACGCAGCCCTGGCATGGGGGAATGGGACACGGGGACAAGGGGAGGTGGGACACGGGGACATGGGGACATGAGACACAGGGACACATGGATGTGGGACATGGGACACCGGGACACGGGGGCATGGGGACATGGGGACACAGGGACACAGGGATGGGCCCCAGGCCGGTGGCAGGTGGCGCTGGCTTGCTCCTGGCACCAGAGTGGGCTGTGAGTGTTATTTATTTCCTCCGTAGAAAGCCCAGCATGCACTGAGAGATAACTTTTAATAATTTTATTGTTAATAATAATTAATAATTATTACTAAGATTTGTGGTAATATATTATATTATATAATATGTGGAATATTATATATATATATATATATATATATATATAATATGTATATATGTATATATGTATATATGTATATATGTATATATGTATATATGTATATATATGTATATATATATGTATATATATAATATATATATAATATGTGGAATTCTATTTAAATATTTATTTTTTTATACTTCTTGCCCTACTTTTTTAAAATAAACCCATAGAAACAGACTGTGTTTGGCTGCTCTTCGTTGGGTCCCTTTTGTGCTCACCCTCAGACACCTCTGCTCCCCCAAAGCAACCTCGGGGCTGCCCCAAAATCCCTCAGGGCATCACAGTCCCTTGTCGCCTTGTTCCTTCCTCTCTTCCCACCTGCTATAGGATGGCTGATTGGATATATATTTTTCTGGGGGGAATGTTTAAATTGACACTCACCAGCTGCTCAAAAGTTCTGGGATGATGGTGAAAAGTGGCGACCATGGTGGTGCAGGGATTGTCCTGGCATGGGGAGTGGGTGTGGGTGTGGTGTGGGTACCATCATGGTGAGGGGACCATCCCAGCGTGTGGAGCACCGTGGTATGGGGAGTCCCGCTCTGGAAACACTGCAAGTTCCTGGGGAAATGCAGAAAGGCTGGGAAGAGGCTGAGGGAGCTGAGTGAGCATGTGCGAGGTGGAGGGGACACACCAGATAAAATCACAGCCGCTTCCCAGGCTGGGCTGGGAGAGGCTCAGCAGAGCTTTGCCACGGCCAAGACCACCTAAGGCTGCACCAGTGCCCCGGTCCTCAGCGAGCGCCTCGCATGGGGCTGGAGCGGTTAACAAGAGGCTGATTATACAGGAGACGTTGGAGCAGGATGATGAAATTTTCCTCCTCCTCCAGAGCCCTTGGGCCACTGGCCAAACCTCCCAGGCATGAGACAGCAAGCGGATGAGCTAAGATCCTGTGTGATCATCTCTCGTGTCTCAGAGGAGCCCCGACCTAAAGATCATCGAAGAAATTCAGAAGTTGCCCCCTCAGCCCATCTTCCTCTGCCCCGCAGGCTGGTGCTGCCCAGTTGTGTCCCCCAGCTCCTATGGGAGGTTTCATGGTGTGGGTTTGACCCCAGACTGGCACTGGCCTGTGCCAGTGGCAGCCTCGTGCTGCACCAGTGATGACAGCACAATTCAGTGGTGACAGCAGGGCCAGTGGTGCCCATTTCCAGCCTGGCCCTGCTGTCCCTTCATGGAAGGGGTGACTGCCAAAACAGAAGGGGCTCCTCCATCCCAGAGCCGAGGCACCCAGGGACATCCCTGCATGCCACGGTGTGTCCCCACGCATGATGTGGCTTTCTTCCATCGCCCAGCCTGCCGTCAAGGAAGGGACCATGGGTGTCTCCCGTGTCCCTGCCCTGGAGGATGCCCATTTGGGAGTTGCATTTGTGGGGCCCATTTCCTGCCTGCACTGTGACATAAAATGCACTCAAAGCAATACAACCCCCCAGAATGCACAGGCATGGGGCAGGGCATCACCATATTAGGATGGGCATTATGCCTCAGGGCCAGGTCCTGCAGCACTTGTCACCATGACACCCTGATGGCTGCCAGGGTCACCCTGACCCTGCAGCTGGGGACACACAGGTGTCCCCATGGCTATTGTTACCATGGCATTTTATGGCCAACATTTCCTATGCTGGGAAGTCCAGGGCTGGACAGCCAAACTTCGCCCTTCCTTGTGTCAACACCCACAGTTCATCCCCGCCAGGGATGTGGCAGGTGCCATGGGGTGCCACCACCCCGCCCCGGGCAGTTCGAGGGGTGTCAGGGCCCGGGGCAGGTTCGGGCTCGGCGGGGCCGGGAGCTGGGCTGGGGACGATGTCCTGCGCGGGAGCGAGGAGCTCTGCACATCTGGATTTCTCACGCTTGGGTTCAACATCCCTCCTCAACCAGATGGCAAAAATAAATAAATAGAATAAATCACAGCCTCCTGACATAAATCGGGAACTCACGCCCCGGCTCTGCGTTTCATGAGTCTCCCTGGAAGACAGTCAAACACAGGCGAGGACAATGGGTTCACTTCTCCCCTGTGTCGGGTCATTCCCAGTTAAGGCTCATTAGCAGCAGGCGAGGGTTTAACTCTTCCTCCCCTGGAAACGCGTGGACAAGCCCCTAAAATTCCCCAAATCCCTTCCTCTACCCTTCCCTGAGGTTTTGGAGTCGGGGCCGGCGGAGGCCCCCGGCTCGTGCCATGGCCTCAGCGAGGCAGGGCGCGCTGCTCTGCTCATCCCGGGCTCGGGACAGATGGAAAGGGCTTTCAATTACCTCAGCCAGCGGCTGATCCCACCCAGCCGGCGCCCCGGGGAAGCGGGCCAGCCCGCGAGCCGGCCCGGGAGCACCGCAAAGGAACCGGCGCTGCGGCTTCCCCGGCACTGGCACCGGCAGGACCCTGTCAATGACTCCCCTTCGGCCCCAGGACCAGAGAAACTATGTTGGCCGGGACGAGAGCCAGGAAGGGCTCCGGGGAGCCATCGGTTGCGATGGGAGCGATGCCCGCGCCCCGATAACGGAGCGGCCTGACCATGGGCCCCGAGCGGCGGGTCAGCGCTGCCTTCGGGGAGCGGGATACGTGAGGAGCTGCTCCTGCCCGCGGTGAAGTCAGTGCCGCTGCCTGGGTGTGACTGACTGACCTCAGCCCTTGGCCCCGCGGCGCGGATCATGTGCTGCCTGACGCCGCGCGAACCCGGCCGGACGGGCCCTGCGCTGCCCCGGGGCCACTGGCCAGACGGGACTTGCCGTCCGCGGGGGCAGGTGCGGGGCCGGGGCACCGCCGGCTGCGCGTCCCCTCCGCTCCGCAGGGTGACCCGCGCTGCATCCCCGGGACTGAGCCGGCGGGAGCATCCCCAGCGGGGCTGACCTCACCGGCAGAGCTGGGGATGGCGGTGGGGTCGTTCCCTGAGAGATCCCAGGTAGAGCATCCCGCCTTCCCCTGTGTGCTGGGGTCGGACCCATTGGTGCCCACGGCAAAGCCCCTTCCCCATCCAAGGGTCCTCCCGCAAGGCTCGGCACTGGCCAGACGCGTTTGGCCGGTGACGATCCCCCCAGCAGGTCCCCAAGCTGGGTCCCTGAGGACAGGAACATCGCATCCCGAGGGCCTGCTGGAGGCTCCATCCCCGGCTGGCCGCCGGCCCGAGCACGGAAAGCAGAGCCGAGCCCATCTGAAACGCATTCGGGCACTGTTGCTGCAATAGCAGATGCTCCTGCGGGTCGCCGGCCACATCACAGCCCGGCGGAGCGGGAACCGCACGTTCACATGGGAAGAAACAGTTCCTTGTCCCAAACGCCTCAAACTCCTAATTGGGGACCAACCGTGACAAATAAACAAGACAATGGGCTGGAGGCGAGGCGAACGCAACCTCTGTCGCAGGACCCGGCTCCGAGAGCCGCCCCCGTGCCCAGCAGGGGACTTGGCACAAGCCCGCAGAGCCAGGGGAGGGCAGGGGCCAGGATCCGGACCCCCCGGCAGAGCCACTCTGTGTGACACCGCGGGAGCTCGGGGCTGGCTCGGGAGCAGGATGACACATCCCCAGTGGTCCCCCGAGACCCCTGTCGGCAGCTTTGGTCAGCAAGTGTTCAGTCTCATGGTGAATGAGCTTTGGAGCGGGGTCAGCTCCAGCCCTGGGGAGCTGCAGGAGCGGCTTCTCCTTGCTGCACCCCAGCTTAGAGACCCTTCTCCCCCGAGGAGGGAACGCTTTGGGCTGCCTTGGAGCGACGGGCGGGGCCAGCCCAGGGGATCTGATAGCGGGGTTATCTCGGCACAGCTATCGCCCTCCAACAGACACCGGGGCACTTCCGCAGCCCCGGCTGCGCTGGGCACTGATGGAGGAGCCTCGATAAAGCGCTCAGTGCCCTTGCCAGAGCCTCAGCATGCAGAGCACCCGTTGTCCAAAAGGGAGTGAACATCCCGGCTCTTCACCCCTGCTCTCCTCGAGTCTCATGG